ATTCTGTGAAAGTATCGTTGATTTTTATTCAGTGGTATAGGATTGATTGATTGTATGTTGTTTTTCGTCCGTTTGAGAATTTTTCACTCATACAAAGACGTCACCATATACCGGTGATGGGCTTCAAATTTAGACCTTTACTCGGCACTCAGGGCCGTTGAGCAGTGAGGGTTCTTTATCGTGCCAACGCCTACCGTGACGCGGGGCCTCGATTTTTAAGGTCTCATCCGAAGGACTGCAACTTTCACTTCAAAGTGCCGAGCGCTTGGCGAAGGAACAGTTGCTACCTATATTTTTTATCGACTTAGGTCAGTCGCGGCCGTGATTCGAACACACGACCTTCCAATCACGGAGCTCTGTGGTATAGGAAGAGTTGCGGCTAAGAAATGGGAACTCTCGATTTTATAAAAAGAATGGCAGTGTATATGTTTTCCTATGGGAAACCAGAAATAAATGTCTGATCAAGAGTAAAATAAAAGGTGCACAATAGAACTTACAAAGATTCTGTGAAAGTCTCTTTAAATTTTATTCATTGGTATAAGAGGTGTTGTGAATAAATGATGGGTACCCCAAAGCGTAACGGACAGAAGGACGGACGGACACCCCCATCACTATATACCCTGCTTTTCAAGCGGGATTGATAATGGCGACCTAAATGCTATCATTTTAAAGATCCTAAATTCAGAGAGCCTAGATCTATCAAATAGCGACAGAGCCTGAATTCCATTGAGGAGTATGCTTGATGATGAGCTAAATTTATATGAAGGGAAGACCTTGATACTCTGTCAAAACAGATAGAGAATAGATAAAGAGTTTTAGAAATATATTTAAGAATCGCTTTAGAAAATTAGAGGATTAAGTATCTTACCGTTTGTTTCCAGTAGACTCTAAGTGATAAAGGAATAAGAAATGTGTTATGGTTCAATCTGACAAAGCTTATAACAATAAAGCCCTTTTTTGGTAAGGCTCATAATCAGAATTGCATTTAGAAGAACACTTAATTTCAAATTTTCATCTGGTAATCCAACTCAGAGCGGAAATTCTTCAAAATTGCGTTTCAGTTTTAAATACTTTTAACATTTTCCAGTCAATGGAAGTGAATTTGATTTACCATACTTATACTGGATTCCAAAAACTTCATTAAAATCCTTACAGAGAAAGATATATATTATAGGGTCCAGTGAATGTTCAACCAAGCCCCTATATTTACTCCTCACCAAAATATTAACTGCTGTGAATGAGGAACTTCAGACGTACTGTGCTATAATATTTTCAAAAAGTGATATACAGGGACATGTATACAGATAACCCTGTTAATCTGGTCAATATAGAGGGCTCAGGGTGGGTGTGATCGATCGATTGACAGTGGATGTTTACTCATCCTAGGCACCTGATCCTGGATCCCAATTCTAATAATTTAATTTTGGTTGTAACGCATCATTTGATTGGATAAAAAAATTAGAATAAATTGTATAACCTGGGTTGCCTACGTCACAATGACTTTCATCAAAAACGTATCAATCCGCTTGACGTAACATTTAAAATACGTACAATTTGAAGGAATTTTCGAAGGAAAAATTATCTTATTTTTTACACTTAATGATGGAAAATTAAATTATAAGGAATGAATTTAATAGCTACCCAAGTTATACTGGTATAACCTGGGTTGGAACAGTTTACGCTTTTTTATAAAACGCTTCGCGGTTTATAAAGCGTAAACTGCCCCAACCCAGTATAACTTGGGTAGCTATTAAATTCATTCCTTAAGTGTTTTCAGAGGTCCGTAAATTTGCCCTGTTCATGATTCGTATCCTTTACTGGATATGTAAGATAGGTCACTTTGGGAAGGAGTGTAGCACAAGTCGCTTTCCTTCACATAAGGACTCTCCTTACCACTTTTCCAGGGGTCCTCGTTTTCTTGGAGTAGGGCAGGTTTCCTATACATATTTGAAAACTGAGAAAATCACAGGGGCGGAGGGGTGGGTATGGGGGGTTTGGACCCTAGAGCAGCGATATCCGCGCATGAAATATGTGTTGACTTTGGTTATAATAGCTACCTCTGTCACATGTTACAATATCAAGCAACAATTCCATACATCATTTTCTCTACTAATAATGAAGTCCAAAGTAGTAAGCTAAATAATTTTACAACTTTGCTAGATATGCCAGACTTGTGAAAAGAAATCTCTATTTTACTCTAAAAGAGGGAAATATTACTAGAAATCGGTGTAAATGTTGTAAAGATAAACCTAGAAAAAGTGGGGTGGGGCGGGTTCACCCTGCGACCCCCCCCCCCCCCCCCGCATACTACTGACCTGCAACATCTTGTGTCATTTAGTCACCAAAGGAACAAGATGTGTTTGTGAAACACTGATGCCCCCGTATGGCAACTTATAGCAAAGGATAAACTTTCTTAAATGCAAATCAAATATCTTGGTACCCAAAGTAAGGTCTTGTCTCGAGGAATAAACCTGTGAAATATGAAAGCCCTAGTAGCAACCATTGAATAGATATAGAAAAAATTAAAAAAGAAAATCAAAAGTATGTCAAAAATCTAGGTCAAGGTCAAATGGACAAAATTAATGGTGCCCAAGAACAGGCCTGTCCCAATAAATACACAGGTGAAATATGAAAGTCGAAGCACCAATTGTTCAAAAGTTATGACCAAGGTTAAAGTTTTCCAAAAGTAGGTCAAATTCCAAGTTCAAGGTCAAAGGGTCGAAGTTGTTGGTATCCAAAGGAAGGTCTTGTCACAAGGATTGCAAATGTGAAGTATGAAAGCCCTAGCACCAACCGTTCAAAAGTTATGACCAAGGTTAAAGTTTTTCAAAAATAGGTCAAACTCCTAGGTCAAGGTCAAAAGGTCAAAGTTGTTGGTACCCAAAGAAAGGTCTTGTCACAAGGAATTTACATGTGAAATATGGAAGCCATAGCTCCAACCAATCAAAAGTTATGGGCAAGGTTAAAGTTTTTGCGGACAAACAGACAGACAGACAGCTAGACAGACGGACGGACAGGGCAAAAACTATCTACCCCCGAATCTTCGATACGGGGGCATAAAAACATATTTTCAGTTATAATTAAGAGCAATTAAAAACGTTGTATTTAACGCGTTCATTAGATGAAATAGATAATTAAGTCAATATGCGGAGTCATGCAACAGTACCACACAGTGGTAGATCCAAGACAGTATCACTTATATCAATCTCTGTATAATTTATTCATCAGCTTATCGCCTCAGTAACTCCAGAATTTACGGAATTGACACCCATGCCTTTTAATCGACATATTATGAAGAGCAGAATTTGCAGGAGAGCTTTGCTGTTAAATTAAAGGTTACATAGTCGGAATCGGACTATGATTAAAGCCCAAGTGTTAAATTCTGAAGTGTCAAGGCGATTTTCCCATAGTGTTATGGACACTCCTCCAAATTAAATTCTAAAAGGTTTTCGTGTAATTGCAGAAGCATAGAGAGAATGGATGAATTTTATAATTGATATGTCGAGAACTCTTTAGCGATAGGTTATAGTAAAGGAACATTCTGCATACTTAAACTCGATAGAATTTAAGCAAAAAAATTTTTTTTTAAATAATAAGAAATTCCAAAGGCGTACAACAAGGAAACAATGATATTGATGCAAGCATGGTTAGTAAAAAAAGAAATGTAATTTTTTCTTTTTCTTCTAAAGACAACTATAAGTTACGTTTCATTCTCCTTATTGGATCACAAAGTACAAGTAAATCGTCATGTACACGTAGATGTATCAATGGTCGTCTAAGTAAAAATTTACGGTACATGTATTTACATTACTTCTGATCACTTTGTCAGGTAAATTTTGAACTTACCTGGTGGCAGAAAATGCAAATTGTATGACATGACAACTCCTTTTAAATTTCATATTTACTAACCACTAGATAAATTTAAAATTTACAACATGACGACTTTATTATTTTGTTCTTTTTAGTTTTTCTTCACAAAATCCATTATGGTTTTCTTCAGTGTATCCCCAGGTTAACAGTTTATTCTATCGCAATCTTCGAAAAGAGAAGGACAGGGAAAACCCTATAGTTGTATAGCATAGCTGTAACAAGGACCGTTAAGGATTTTTTACTTCATAGACTCACCAGAAACCCATGCAATATCATTTTATTCCATTTGCATTTTTAATTATTACTGTCTAAATTTTTCTTTTTTGAGCATTCCTTTAAAAATTAGAATATATCAATTATCATTTGAACTTGACTCAAAATGATGTCATCTTAAAAACATTCTTTATCTCATATCCCTAATGTATACGTTCATTGTGATTTTTTAAGGGGAAGGTGCATGGTTGAATATTATGATCATTTAATTTTTCAACTCCTAGCAAACAAATAAATATTGTGGGATCGAGTCATCACATGCCCCATTTTTGCAACAGACCTGCACAAGTTAATAAGAAAAGATAAAGGGTCCGTTCATTTCACCTGCATATTTCCCAATAAATGCGTCAAGGAACTTCTTTTACAAGATCCTTCTTTGGCAAGAAAGTTTCGCTAAAGAAAATAGCTGTACAAAGAATTCCTCCCAGACTGTATTGGAAACATTATTAATGGACCAAAGAACTCGATGCCAACAAGATATCACCAGCCAAGCAGTTGGTAGTACTCAGTGACTTAACCGTGAGACCAAAGACGCTATAAATATTTTGAATGAATATAGCTTTAAAATGCGAGCGTGTCATGGATCAGCATGTGTAAAGACTAACATATCAAACCGATCTTTGATAGGTTAGTTTAATTCCGACTATTGTATCTATTTCGAATCGTTGATATGTTATCTGAAATCCGATCTCTCTTTGTCTTCATCTCACAGATATCTACGATTTGCGACCCGACATTTAATTTTTCTTTGTTTTATATTTTGTGTGATGGGTAGATACTATCTATAAAATATTTACCCCAGAAAGTATAGTAAAATAATATCCATTTATAGAACACATGCGGAAGAGCATTAGAAAATGAATGTATGGATGTTGGTGAGTATTGCGAGTCTCCTCGGTACAGCTGGTATGTATGTGTTTTTGTTGAAATGTATTTGTATTTAGGGATATTTCAAAAGTAAAATTTTAAAGGATACAATGTGTATTGTCTTCACCGAACGTTATTAAAAAGAATACGAAAGCGTCTGCTAGAAGGATGTCATTTAACTTTAACGTTATCATAATTTATCTTTTTTGAGGGTTTAAATGTGTTTTCCTCTAGAAACTGATGGTGCATGGGGAAAATATATAGAGAATTATCAAAACATGCAGAATATGGTAGCAAAAGACAAAAGACTAAAAACAAAAACAAAGAATCAATATCCTTCAGAACTTTGAATGCCGAGGTTTTCTTTCTGCTAAAATCTCTCTAAATCTCTTGCATACACTGTATATATTTCCTGTTTGGATTTTCTTAAATAGACAGTCATGCACAAATGAGATAGCATATTTTATTTGGTAGATTTTAGTAATTAAGATAACATGTAAGTGCACCTTTCTTGAAACACAAATGACTTAAACAAGATATAGGAAAAATATCATGCTAAATGTTGTATAAATACACATTCTCAACAGTTATTACATGTCATATGATCATAATTAATTGTCTTCAAAGATAAATTTGATAAATGTAAGGTTGTAATAACAATGCTCATATATATTTTAAAAAAGGATTAAACTTTTTTGAGCCACATTTCTTGATGCTAAAAGTAACCTCAAAATTCTTTTATAGAGTCATGGTGCAAGCCAATGGAGAGAGCTGATATTGTGTTTGTCTTCGAGGAATCCTTTAGCACAGGAGAGATGAAATTCCCCAGTGAGTGGAACTCTCAGAAAGAAATGCTGGCCAAATTTGTAGATCAGATGTACATAGACCCAGACAACGGAATCCGAGTTGGAGGGGTCACGTACAACACAGAAGCGAAGGTACGCTTTAACCTTAACACACACACAACCAAATCAGACATTATGAGCGCCATTAAGGGCATACCAACAGACAGAAGAAAAGAGATATATGAAAATGACACTGACTACTCATATAAAGGGCTACAGAAAGCTTATGATTCTGTGTTTGTGTCGAGTAATGGAGATAGGCCAGACGCCCCTAACTACTATATATACACTAGTGACTATATTTTTCCCGATGATGACCCTTATAGCGAGGGGCTTGATATAAGGATGGCCGGAGAGAATTATATTTGGGCGATAGGTGTCAAGTCAGCGCAAACCCAAGGTATACTTTCTCAGTCTGTGGGATCGGATGGAAAATATTACACCGGATCCAGTTTTCAGGCTCTAAACACGGTTGACCATGCTAAGACATTCTGGGAGATGCTTAGCGGATGTCCTATCCTTGATCCTGCAATCGGCAAATATTGTAAGTTAAGTTTTTTCTTTGTTTTACGTGAGTCACAAAGGTTTTAATGAAAAAAGGTGAAGATTACGAAGAGTTATCAAACTGACAAATCCATTTAGAATTCGAATTAAGAACCGGGCAAAACCTGAGGTGCGATCAGGTCAATATGAGGTGTAAGCATCCCCTGCCAACCGGCCACAGCCACCGTGAGCCTTATGTATTGTACATGGAGGAATTCGTAATCAAAATAGTATAAAAACAATGGCCTAATAATTGATTGGAAATATGTCGGTCAAGGTACGTCCCTACTTCAGGCTGTATTAGAATTTAAGGTCATTTTTTGACCATATTAATTAGAATTTTCAAACTGCTGACTTTAACGAGATAGTTAAAAACATTGTAGCATCAACTTATTTTCATACACCTGCCTCGCTTTAAAATTTATCGTACTCAGAAGATGCCTTTGAGTATGATATATTAGAATAACGAAGAGTAATCATGCTCAAAAGTCCAATTAAACAAAACAGATTGTGAGAAGTGCAAACACGGTCCTTGGAAAACAAAGGCGGGACCAGATGCCATAGAAGAGTGAGCATCCCCTGTTGACCGATCCCACCCTTGTCATGATCAGGTAAAAGTCAGTCAACATCCGAGTAAACGATAGATTTTATATACTATTGATCTTGCAAAAAGTAAACAAATTTGTTGATATCCTTGTATCATCAAATTATTTGTTAGTAGTCAGTCTCGTTCTAAAAATTGTTCTCACTTAGAGCATGTTCTTGCGTATTGAATCAAATGGTCGACATAAATACCATATGCAGCTGATGTGGGAATATTACAAAATAAATAAGTGAATAGTTGAACTCATCTCATTTATCAAACAGCTTAGTTGTTAGTCGGCCATCAACGTCTTTACCTAGTAAAATATCAAAATATGAATCAAAAGTGTCAGACTCTGTGATGTCTTTTATTTCGAGTTCAATAAGAAATATCGAATCAACGTAAGAATGAAAATATTTTTTTTTTGATAAAACGTAGTTGATATATCTAAATGTCGAATTGAAGACAATAGCAAGAGAGTTTTTTCTTTTCATGTAGAATCAGTTGAATGACATTAACACGATATGCAGCAGATTGTATATCATAACAACAAAAATATAGAAATTAAAATTGACAATGGAAAAGCTAAATTCATCTCATTTGTCATATATTTTAGTCGTTAGTTGGCAATTAACGTCTATAGTCAGAAAAAAAAAACATCCAAGTAGGAATAAGATGTGGCAGACTCAATGGTGTTCTTTAATTTGAGTTCGTTGGGATGTATGGAGTTGACATATGAATGAAAATAACTAGTGTTAATTGATAGTGTTACTATAGTCTTTTATCTGCTAATTTTTCCTAAAATTGATTCTTTTTGGGGAAAAATGCTACTAAATTATACAGCATGTGTTGGTAGCGGGGATTCCAGAATTATAAACTTCACAGTCTTCGCCTTACATTCTTGGAGATGAGATCGAAAACTAAAGAAAATATTCATAAAAACATTTTTTTTAAATGTGAACAGGGGGGGGGGGATATGAGTTTGTATATTTTAAATCATAAGGGAATAGAAAAATATGAAAATTACGTTACCAATAGGTAACTGAGTATGGGATAAAGACAGAGAAGATGTGCTTTATCAAAATACCAAAAAATAAATTTCACATAACTCGGTACAGTTTTAAATTAAATTCAATTGAATGTCACAAAAATATCGTGAAAATTTTTAAATTGAATTGCATTCTCTTCTACTTTTAACAATTAACATGGAAAAACCTTGGTGACTTTTATTTTATCTTTTCACTTTGCAAGTTTGATTTAGCACCTTTTTTGTATGCCTGTTTTTCACAAAGAATACTTGACCTTTTTCAAAGATAATTTTTCTTTCCTCGCCAAACATACTTTAGTCATGTTCATTATAAACTGAACTTTTACAAAACACATATCAAAAGGAATTCGGGTTTAAAAGACATCGCTCATTTCTAAAGTTATACAGACTGTTATGCGCTTTCTAAAGACTGTTTTAATTAAATACTGATGAGTAAAGATATTGAGACATACTTTGATAAGTCATTAGCAGTTTGTCCAGACTTTTTTTTACAAACACAGATGTTTAACGTGATGTAAGGTCATTGTCGTTGAATTCTAAGAATATTTATGTAAGTTCAGTTCATTAAACTGAATTTATTTTTTGAATAAACAGAGCAATTTTAAATGTTAACAATGTAACTGAGTCCAGATCCCTTTAAAACCTGTACAAAAATTGTATCTTTTCTATGAATTTAAGTCCCGTGGCTGATGTATGTTCAGCTCGCCAATTGTTTGAGAGATATGCACAATTCTCCTAGAATACATTACGTGTATTTTCTATTCTACCAGAGCATCGTCATCTTTCCAATATTTGGACAAAGCCAAATCTAAAATAATTTAAATATTATGAGTTTATTTATGTTTTGTTATAAATATATTAAATTAAATAGCAAAAACATTATTTTCAATAAACAAAAGAAGGAAAATGACTATTTTAAAATAAGTCCTGTGTTTGATGTAACCTGTGTGAAGTGTGGAAAAAATACAAACATAAACATGAATTTCTTTTTATGTCTCAATATTTTATAATTATGCAAATTAATAATTATTGTGTCGTTTTAATTGAAATATTTACATTTGCTGTTTTTTTCTGCTAAGCCAACTGTGAAATTGATTTGAAATTCATTTTTGTAGATACTCACGCGTAGAAATATACACGGAGAAACTCGCGCTAAAGTGATGTTACAATGAGGCTACAGAGACGTAAATAAAAATGTAACGATACAGGGCAGCAAGAAATTCAAATATTGAGTAAATTACTGGTGCATTTAAACTTGTAAAATGTAAATATAAGGTATGTTTTTAAGTTTAGTGTGAATTATTGGTGTGTAAATCACACAGACGTGCACGCAGACATATTTTTCATGAAGCGCTAGCGTGCTTCATGAAATATGCCTACGTGAAAAGTCTGTGTGATTTACACACCAATAACTCACACAAAACTTAAAAACATTCCTTAAATATTTTGCATGTGTCACCTAAATAAACAATTACTCACTTACTTTCTTGCATACTTTGTCAAACATAAGATATTTTTTTTAATGTCAAATGAAAAGACAAATCACTCTTAAACTTCAAATATTCAGAACTCCGATGAATATAAGGTATGATGGGCTTGTTTGGTCAATGAAGGCAAAGTTTGACGTACTTATTTAAATTGTTTGATATTCACACACACACACACACCCTCACACACACACACACACACACACACACACACACACACACACACACACACACATATATATATATATATATATATATATATATATATATATATATATATATATATATATATATATATATATATAGCCGAGCGGTCTAACGCGCTGTTCCTGTACTGCTAAGAGACAGATTCCGTAGGTCGAGAGTTCAACCCCGGGCTGGGGCGGAAGTGGGTATCCTTATAAAAGTGAATTTCTTTGTGCTTTCTATATTAATATTTCTTCACTTAGGGCAGTTATGTTAGTTTAAGAGTTGTTGTAAATTGTGCTTTCTATATATATATATATATATATATATATATATATATATATATATATATATATATATATATATATATATATTAAGGATTCTTGTGTTTTCTTTTTATATTTGTTTAATATTGTAATCCGATTACTGAGACTTTATTTCAATTTTGGATATATATATATATATATATATATATATATATATATATATATATATATATATATATATATATATATATATATATATATATATATATATATATATATATATATATATTAAACATTGAACACAGAAAGAATATTTTGAGAAGATATTTTGTGATATAATGTCTGAAGATTTCGGATGAAATATAATATAATTGCTTTTTTGTTATACATAAACTGGACATAAACTGTAGAATTTAGGACAAATACTAAAACTCGATTAATTGCTTATTTTGACAGTAAATTGGTGATAAAATGTTCAAAAAACCCAACACCAACAATATACAAAATGTTCCAGGATAAAAACTGAGTCGGGTCCTGACCTTTTTTTCCCAAAATGATTAGCCTGCATGAAAATTTGGAACTAATATACTGTAAAGCCATGTATATGTTAATCAAAATTCCTATGTCAAAATATTGATGTCCGTTGAGAAGCCATGCATACAAGCATAACAATTTTCGCCAGTTCCTGACACATGCAATTTTCTCAAACAGCATATGACATAAAAAGACACAACAACTTTATTGTAAACACACTTGAAGATACAGGTTAGAACAGACCTACCTGTAGTTTGTGTCACCATGCAGAATCGACACTTTTTCCAAATTTTCTTTTAGTCTTTTATTTTGAACTTATATATGTTTTATCAGTTTTTTACGTTGAGATTAGTTCTGAATCTTTCTCGATTGTTGGACTACGAAATACTGAATTATTTACTTAATTGTATTGTGACACTCTCAAGACAGTACAAAGGGGCAGAGTGTTAACGCCATCACTAATTTGTAATACCTTATAAAAACATTAATTCATGTAATTATTTTTATTTATCTGTCTTTCATGTCCTTCTTTTCAATGCTTTTCATACCGTTACGGTAGCTCAGTCGATTGAGCCCTCGCTCCGTGATCGGAAGGTCGTGTGTTCCAATCACGGCCGCAACTAAGCTAAGTCGATAAAAAATAAGTAGCAACTGTTCCTTCGTCGTCAAGTACTCGGCAATTTGAAGTGAAAGTTGCAGAACTTTAAAAACCGAGGTCCTGTGTCACGATAAAGAACCCTCACTGCTCAATGGCCCTGAGTGCCGAGTAAAGGTCTAAATTTGAAGCCCTTCACCGGCATATAGCGACGTTTCTATATGAGTGAACAATGCTCGAATGGGACGTAAGACAACGATCAATCAATCAATCAAAGCTTTTCACAGACTGTAATTTACTTA